TCTGTCACTATCTTCTTGAAAATTGCTGCATCTCAAGTGGATTTAGGCTTTTGCAAAATCGAGAACTTCAGCTTGAATATTGGGATGGGGCAAGCAGCAGAAACTGACCTTGCAATAGTCAAAGCCCAGACTTCAAAGAGGGTGTGGTGGTTCACCATTATATACAAGTTAATTTGAGAACTTACTTGTGTGAGATGTGGTATGTGTAGCTGACACAGAACATGTGGTATTCCACTCGGTTTTGTCTGTGTTTTCACAGCTCTCGTTCTCAGTGTAACGGAATCGAATGCCCTCTGGCTTCATCATGGGGTGTATTGCAATCGAAGATCAATCTTTGGTCTGTAATTTAAATGTTCACAGTTATGGGTGAAGGTATAAACCATTTGTTTTGGGAAGCCTAATTTACTTTTATTGTTTGTGTAATTGAAGTACATGAAACTGAGTTACGGACCTGGTTATCTTTCTTTTCACACAATTTTGGGATATATCCTGGTTTTGGTGTAAGCATAATTCATTCTCTTCCAAATGAAAATTGTGGAATATTTTTTCTATCCAAGGTAATGTTATGTTAATTACATTTTTTTTCTATTGAAAAAAATAGTTTGATTATAAAATATAGAAAATTCCACATTGCTGATCCTGTGTTGTATATCTTGTAAGAAATGGAGAGGATTTGAATGTTTTAAGGGCAGAACAGACTGGTGTAGGGTTGTTTTTTGGGCATTCTCAAAGATACATTCAACTGTTTTTGCTGTTTAACTGTAAACTTGTCTGGCTGCCTTTTGTCAGGAGAATACCTCTTTATCCTGAAGGTTTCTAGAAACTCATCACTGTCCTCAGGATGTGATTAATCTGATCTAGTTTAGGTTAACTGTGTCTACCTAAGGTGTAAATACTTTGTTTTTGAAGGAACAGGCGCTTTCTGGAGGTGAGTGGATTCTGAAATAGGTGTCCAGAGGAGAACCAAACCAAATGCCCCTTTTCTTCCGTTGGCTAAGCAGGGTGTCGGTGGTATCTTACATACGTAATTGCATCTCTGCAGTCTAGGGTTGAAAGAAACTATGTCCACTAGCATCAAAATGGTTATGGGGATAGAAAAGTTGCTTTCTTGTTAGATAGGAGTAACTAACTGAAGGACTGAACACAGAAAACTTAATTTGCTTGTTACTGATTCTTGAGGAGGGTGAGGGAAATCCTCTAACTCTATGGAAGTGGATTGAAAGAGATGAAATAGTACACTAGGTAAGGCAGCTCGTAACAAATCTTAGGCTAGAAGTTTAAAATTTGCTTTATTAATGCTGAAGGTTCTTCTCAACATCTTTTGTTAATGGGCATCGCGTTATTCAGATAGAGGAATTTAAAACCAGCCAAATGCATTACAGGCCTAGTCTCTGAGACATACTTAGCCAAGAATGAAGGTCGTGCTGGGAATGTCACGAGGTTGAAATGGATTGATTTCCCCCCCCCCCCCACCTTCTTGGCTCTGTGGTGTGTTCTGCAACACAGCTAAGCAGCTGCTCAGGAAAGAGGATGATATAGAGGAATAATGATATGGTTAAATAGGTATATTTTCAAATCATGTATTAGACAAAATGGTGATAAATTCATAAATACAGTTTTGTGAGAATAGTATTACCTGAGTTTAGAATTTTGCAGCATAGTGTTCTAAAAGATTTAAGAAATCTGAAGTTTGTATTTTAAGTGCTGAGGGAAGTTAGAAATAATTAAGGAAAAGGCTTACATTTTAAATGTATAGCTCTGGCTGTCTGATTCTAATGCTAACAAAACATGGTTATGCTTAGGCATCAACTTATGGGGGTCACTTTATGCAGGGTTACTTCATCTCATGTAAATAACTATCTGTAAAAGTTGCTGCTAATTTTGCCTCAAGCTAAGTATGCTAGAGTCTAGCTTACAGCTGATGAAGAGAACTAAGCACCCTTGCCAAGGGAAGAGTTGTCCTGCAGAAGTGCCTCTGTATGTCCTCTAATTATAAAGAATGATTTTGCAGTTTGGAGATGTCTGAGTTTGAGAGCTGAATCTTGTCAGTCCAACCAGAACTGTCTGGATTCTGGTTTTTATGCATTTTTGAAAATGTGGACTGGAACTTCCCTGTACCTTTTCTTGATGCTAATTTAAGAAAAATTATAGAAGTAGTTTTCTTGATTTTTGGGGATATTTTTACTTCTGCATGTGAGCAGCATATCTGTCCTGGTCTTACAGTACCCTTAAAAATCTTAGCTGAGACACAAAGATATCATGAGTAAGAGCCAGAAAAAGCCTTTACTGGAAAAAAAAAATCCCCTCGCTTATTTCCCAGTTTGAATGGGATGAATCATGTTAATTGTATGCTGCTAGCTGGTTGGTTATGTTGCATTCTTTTTCTCTAAGAATGTGCCTAAAGTTGCCACAGAAGCATTTTTGAGGTAACAAGCTGGCTAGAACAATTTTTGACATTTCTATAGTCCATATTATTAAACATCAAAACAGAGACCCTTATCAGAGACACAATGCTAAATTCCATTTTAAATATCGGATTTATTTATTTTTTTCGGTCTTGGCCACCAATTCAAAGGGCCAGTAATAGTGTGCGTTATTGTGTGAGGACAATTACATTTGTATGCGTTGGTTATGCAGCTACAGACAGTATGCTGTAGTGAGAAGAACAAATATAGACTGTGCTCACTGTAATATACTTGCTAGTCTATATTCAAGGGATAAATGTGCTTTCAGTTATCAGGCAAAATGTTAGGACACCAACTGTCCAGAAAATACATAGTGGAAAGTCAACTACAGCATTCTGTCAGCGCATTAGCTATGGAATTTGTGTGAGTAGACTCTGAAATTTTTCACATAGTCAATAAATTCAGAGGATTTATGCTATTTTTAACTTCTTATAGAGAATTTGGATTTTTTTTTCTTCAGTTGGTGTCTCCTGGCTACAGTGCTTTCTGAAAGCTAGTTGTGGAAATGCTGACAAGAGAAAGAGGTTAAGCAGGAATTCATCTGTGACTAGTTTAACTGCAATTTTAGACCAGGAAACTGCTTAATTCCAGGGAAACTTGAAGGCTGCTTTAGTACCTGTGTGGAATAACACATCCTTGATCCATCTGTCCCTGTCCCACAGCCCTGCTAACATAACTCTCCCTAAACACTTTTTGCGTACATATCTTGGCCCAGTTGCTTCATTAGTTTGGATTACTCAGTATTAGTAGCTTTTTCATTAAAGATGCTAATTTCCTGAGAGATAAATGATGGAAGTAAGCTAATCTATTCCAGCTTTAATTCTGTTTGTTCAGGCTATGTGCATTAATTAGCGTTAGACATTTCTTAAGGTACTTTTGTCTTAATTCTGTCTTGTACTGGATTGCAGTAGATTATGCAATGAGGCATATTTTACACATTTTGGCACTAATTGTACATACGATAAAGTAGATTTTCTCATTTAAGGACCCTGCCTTATTTTGTAAGCAAAATTAGCGTTGTTCTAGCAAAGAATTGATAGCTGGGAACATTAAGCTATGCTAAAACACTGAGCTCTCAAAAGGAAATAGTGGCTTAGCAGCCACGGGGAGATTGAGGATCACATTTATGCAGAAATTGAAGTGCTTCAGTGAAAACCTGAAATATTTTTTAAATGTTAAGACATTAGGAATTTTGATGCAAAGCTCCTCTTCACCTTTAACAGCGGTGAAGCTTTAAAATAAGGTTGTTTTTAAGAAAATAACCTTAAACAAAAGTGTCAGCCGTCTTATCTGGCATAATGTTGGAAATGGCATTTCAGTCTTTTTGTGAAATTTTTTCAAAGCATGATTTACATGAGTAGGACAGACTTCTAAAATAGTTTGCTGTCCAAAATTCATCATTAACAAGCTTTATAAAATTGCTACCTTTTTTTACCAAAGATTATTTTTACTAATTCTTTCACCACAACATTATTTGTATTAGGGGAAAAAAGGGGCAAGAGTAAGCCAAAAATGGCTACTTAATTGCTTTGACAGTATTTTTATTTATTTTCTTCATAATTTTTAGTAGATCTGCAGTGTAGTGTTACTTTCATTATGTTTGGCAAGATATGATAAAGCTCAACTGCATTTGCTTTCAAGCAGCATGCCAAACCAATTAAGTTCTTTTCCTAGGCTCCTACTTGGGGATTTTCTATTACATGTATGTCTGCATTGTACTTAATAACATGTTTGAATTAGGAAAGTTCTACTTTTTGGCAAGTTATTAGTACTTCCTAATGAATGTATTCCTCTTGTGCATAGTGTTACAATAGTGGTAGAATAACATTCTGAGACTGTATTTAAGTTACTGATGAGTGACTTCGGCTTTCAGATCTTAAAAATTTGTTTAAAACTAGTCCTATGGCTAAATGCAATAGTTTATGCTTTGTCAAACTATTAATCTAATTTTAAGCATGCTTTTGCTTGAAAATTGCGGTGGTGGTAACAATTTTAACACACAAGAATTTAAACTTAAAGTACCATTGCTATATTGCTAAAGGTATTGTGTCAGGAAAAAAAATGTTTTGAAGGAGATAATTTACTTTCTGTCTTTCTGTTGTATGCAAGGGTGGGCTCATTTTGACAGCTTACGTTCATAGTTCCTGTACACTGTACAGTCTCTCAATCTAACAGTTTCAGTAGGGGGAGGCTGTTAGACTTGGGAGTGTTCAAAATAAACAAATTCAGTGCAAGTGTCTGAACACAGAATGTATTGTGTTACTATATTACAGTAGTCTTCAAATTAATAAAATATTCTGATATTTACATAACTAACTTTGCAACATACTAATCTTTTACTGCAGGTGTGTGTGAGTTACTACCTGAAAATGAATATCTATGCTTCTTACTGATATACTGTAAAAAGGGAAAAAACTTTATTGAATATTTCAGTGATCTAAGATTTCTATGACTGCCTAATATTTTTCAGTATGGTTCATTCTTTCCTTGATTCAACTTGTTTGAGAGTAACTATTGGACATTTCCCATGTTTAGGTTTACCTTGGATATTTACCTTTAATGTGAAGTTTTATCCTCCTGATCCTTCACAGTTGACTGAAGACATCACTAGGTATGCATAGTTCCTAACTTTAAACTTCAAAACTACTGTCAGTCTAACTTGAAGACCATATAAAATTTCTTCCTCAGTTTCTGGACGGTGTCAGAGGTTTGGCTGTTACTGTAGAACACTGCAGATGTTCTTATATCAACTGCTTTTTGGAATGAGGTTGAAAAGGCAAAGTGAAAACTTCAGAAAGAAACTTGAGAAAGAAGAATTTAATAAGTGGGGTGTGATTTGGGCAGGAGGTAAGATGGGAATGATCATATTTGAAAGAAGCCAGTGGTTTATTGTCAGGCTGCTGCTTTGTTATACAACAAATGAGGATGTGGGGGTATTGATATTAAGAGCAAAGCTCAAGGGATCCAAGGAACTTCTGTAGTGATCTAGGCTAGGTTGGTGAAAAGTTTTATACGTATGCATTAAATAAACTATAAACCATAATAAAACCTGAAAATAATTATCTTACAAAGTTCTTAGATAAAATGAACATGGAATATAGTGGATACTAATCACCTAAAAAGTAGTGCTGCAAGACTAACATAACCAGTGGGTAGAATGCAGGGAAATGATGCTCATTTTTTCATGAGTTACGGAAACCCTAAACTTCTAGTTTCGTTTTGGAGTTACCTGGCTCTGCTGGGGGAGGTTGTGTTGGATCTGAGGCAGTACCAATCGCATTGGATCAGTCTTCTGCACAAAATAAGATATCCACACAAGCGTGTAGTTGATGTATCACTACAAATAGTTGGAGACATTTAGTACACAGTGTATTTAAATAAGCTCTATGTGTTTTCTTGAATTTTTTCAGCAAGTTGGTTGACTTTTCAGTTGTGTGTTAACTCCTAAAAGCATTTTCATGGTTATAGCTTCAAGCTAAATTCCTTGAAATTTAAGTTTCATTGGTAAAACTTCCTTTTATTTACATTAAAAAGGCTAGGATGTCTGCTAATAGTTAACTTCTTAAATTTAGTAGAAGACTGTATGCAGTACCTGAAATACTAAATTCTAATACATAGATGGCTTAAGGAAGGCAGTTATGTGTTCAGCAGTAAATTAGATTTCTCTTGTGCGTTACATGACTGAGTTAGCTCACAAACTGCGAGGGATATAAAAGTTAGAATTTTAAAGCCAAGGGAATTTCAAAGGAAGTACACAGGTTTTTATTTGTAAACATGAGATACCTGCAGGCTGGCATGTGAAACGGAGTTCTACGTCAGCTTTTGTTATAAACTAAACACAGTTTTTCATTCATTTGTACTAAAGTCAGAATTTTTCATACTCTTCAGATTATTTATGAAATTAATATTCACTCTTAAAAATGGAAGTGAAATTTACTGTGTGGCAGTAATGCTCCGATAACGTAAGGGGTAACAAATTATTAACGTGCTGAGTTACTTCAAAATATGCTTATGTGATCACATGCATCTCAATTCTGCTGTTGGTAACACCTTCTCTGTTCTTGTTTGCTTGGTTTTATTTCCCCTTCCCTTTGTCTTGCAGATACTTCCTGTGCCTACAGCTTCGCCAGGATATTGCTTCTGGTCGCCTGCCGTGTTCTTTTGTGACTCACGCCCTCCTTGGTTCATACACGCTGCAGGCTGAGCTGGGTGATCACGACCCGGAGGAGCACCGCAGTGACTATATCAGTGAATTCCAATTTGCACCCAATCAGACTCAAGAAATGGAAGAGAAAGTAGCTGAGCTACACAAAACACACAGGTGTGTCAGATACTGTGGGTTCAAGTGGAACCATCATGCTTTGTCACGTTTATGTCGATTTTCTTAATAGTATGTATGTGTAAAACTGCGAAACTGAAGTTACTTTGGAAGTATTTTGCTGTGTAACTGGAACCTCTCATTATCAAGTGTTTAAAAAATTCAGTTTGAAGAGAGTAGCTTCACTAAGATCTCAGGTGATAGCTTTTAGAGAAAATACCTTTATCTCAGCATATGAATTGGTTTAAGCAACGTACAACTAAAATGTTTCATAAGAGTGAAAGAGGAAATCTCTGCTAAAGGAACATAATATGCTTTGCAATAACACTTTCCCTTTAGGGCAAAAATGCTATTGGTACCTTACAAACTGAAGTTTTTTCATGTGTCTGAATTCCAGGACTCCACTCAGTTTTGATTCTCACTTCTTTTGTCAATAAACTCAAGGCTTATTCAATGGTTTTAGGGGCTTGACTCCAGCACAGGCGGATTCCCAGTTCCTAGAAAATGCTAAGAGACTCTCCATGTATGGAGTGGATTTACATCATGCCAAGGTATTGGGGATTGGGTTTGGTTTGCTTTGCTTTAGGATAGACATGCTTAATGTTAAAGAACGTAACATACAGAGATTATTTTAAAAAATCCATACCCTCAGTACTTAGGTATAAGCCTTTTATCTCTTGGCCATGGTAATTACTTGGCTTACAGCTCTAACATTCTTGGAATTTATTTTAAATCTAGTTTTATTTAATATATAGATGTATGTGCTGCTTAGAAAGAATATTTTACTCAGAAAAGCAGCTAAATGCCTTTTAAATGTCAAGCTTTTGATGCCAGGGAGATGTGGGGCCATAAAGTAAAACCTAAAAGAGCATGTAATTGTTCTTGTAATACCATGAGAGTTAGAAACAGAGGGTATGTGGGGGAAAAGGCCTTGGGGGAGGCTGTTTCTTTTGGTGCTTTTTACACTCTGCTGTGTAGGTCAAATCAAATTTGCATTTCTATTAGGAATTTTTTTTAGTTATGAATACAACAAAACAACTAACCAACCCCCTCCGACGCCCTTGCACAAATCCAGGCTTGAATCATTTGGAAAATTAATGAATTGCAAGCATATCAGCCCTATATCTTAGAAAGAAAATCAAGATTTTGAAGTACTGGAAAAATGTTGTTGAATTCTTTTTTGGTATGGAAATATTGCACTTGTTTTTGCAATTTTCCTGTGTTCTGTTAGAAACACTTGAAAAAAATACACCTAAGTGGGTGGGGTTTTTTTCTTCATGTACATAAACTATGTCTGTAACACTTACTAGTCTTTTTAATACAAGTGCATTTCACTTGGTCTGTAGTGTTTTAAGGAACTTGGATTTTTAGAGTTTTATTGGAGCTTTCTTTTGCCATAGTGAAGTAACTGCAAGCAGTAGAACTGCTCTTTGCCAGAATTGGCTTGCAGCTGTCAGTTATGCCATGAAGCAACTTTTTAATGACACTGTCAGCACTTTATGTAGTGTATATATTGTTGGGGAGGACGTTCAGATTCTGCTGCATCATCTAGTGGTACAGTGTGCCGAAGCTGTATCAGTAGACGATGAGTTCTGTAGCTTTAAAACTCGCATCTAATGCGGTCAATGGAACGGAGTACCCAGAAACCTGTCCCACCAGCACTATGAAATAATTTTGTTGATGATTTCAGCCAAAATATCTGTAACTTCCTGTCTCCTTATTGAATGAGTAGGTGACCATGATCACCAACTTGTTCAGACTTTCATTGACTGTTCTAGGTTGGAAAGGCCTCTTTAATTATTATTCTTTTAATATTTGTGGAGATTATTGGTAGCAAACCTCTTCCTGCTTGTCAGTTGTGGACTTAGTCCCTATTGCCAAAGTACTGAAGAATTTCCCAGAACTGTGGCATAAGCAGATACAAGGGTGCCAAAGCCATTACTTTAAGCTTTTCCAGTTAAAAAAAAAAGTCTTGGCTATTTCTGCTTTAACAATCTCATTGTCAAGGTCTTTCAGGTTTGAATATGAAATGAGTCCCAGTTGCATTATTCCCTCAAGGTATGCCAGCAACAACTACTTGTCTGGAACGTTATTAAACTGATTTTTATGAAATTGTCTCGTACATGATAGGATTCTGAAGGTGTGGATATCATGCTGGGGGTATGTGCTAATGGACTGCTCATTTACAAAGACAGACTCCGGATCAACCGCTTCGCATGGCCAAAAATTCTGAAGATTTCCTATAAGCGAAGTAATTTTTACATCAAAGTGAGGCCAGCAGAAGTAAGCAGCACCTTTATCTTGTTTCTTTTGTGAGATCATTTGTGAGGACGTGGACCTGTTGGGGTGAGTCCAGAGGAGGCCACCAAGATGCTCAGCGGGCTGGAGCGCCTCTCATGATGAAAGGCTGCAAGAATTGGGTTTGTTCAGCCTGGAGAAGAGAAGGCGCCGGGGAGACCTTATTGCAGCCTTCGAGTACCTGAAGGGGCTACAAGGAAGTTGGGGGGGGGGCTTTTTTCAAGGGCCTGTAGTGACAGGACAAGGGGGAACGGGTTTAAATTGAAAGTGGGGAGGTTTAGATGAGATATCAGGAAGAAATTCTTCCCGGAGAGGGTGGTGAGGCCCTGGAACAGGTTGCCCAGAGAAGCTGTGGATGCCCCATCCCTGGAAGTGTTCAAGGCCAGGCTGGATGAGGCTTTGAGCAACCTGGTCTAGTGGAGGGGGCCCCAGCCCATGGCAGGGGGGGTGGAACTTTAAGGTCCCTTCCAACTGAAACCCCATTCTATGATACTATATTCATTTCTATTCAGCAACAAGAAAAAATCCTCATTTTTTTTTCCCTAGATGTCCTCACAAGCTTATGTTGGATTTGAGCAGAATTTAGGAGCATTTTGTTTTCCTCTTCAGATTCTACCAATTGTATAAGATACTAATTCTTATTAATAAATGCAAACAATGAAGAAAATCTATTTTCTTTTGTTAATAGATGCCATCATGTAATTTTATTGCTTTTTACAGGGCAGGCTAGTTACACTGGCCATGTTCTTCCTGTCTATACAAACTTGCAGTCCTGGGAGAGAGCCAGCTTCTCTTCCTCTTTGGGTGTAATTGTTCACTAAATGTCAGTGCATCTAGTTTATGGGTGTAACTGAAGGTTTGAGTTGTCCTGTAGGATGTTGTAACTCTTTCTGTAAGCTGCTATGGAAACAGTACCAAATTTCTTTTCAGGTACCATTGTAAGTTTGTGGGAGTTGCTGAAGGAGGGGGGGTTGTGTTGAACACAGTGTAACTGGAAATTTAACAAAAACCAAAATGTCAAACAATGTAATGGTTTTTTTAGCTTATACTCTAACATACCTAAAGTAGCTTTTTCGGTAGGAATAAATAAAACAAAAGCAGTCTAAATACCAGGAGCACAATACTAACGTTGTAGTGTTGTAAGTTTTGGCACACAGATGTATTGTTCTTGCACTCACTAATGGTTCATAGATATAGTAATTTTGCCAAGAAACTGTTATATAGTGAAATGGATCAGGTAAGCTTAACACTGCAGGATGGATTTCAGACTTTCAAATCCAGGGAAAGTGTGCAGCACAACCTGCAGTACAATTACTTTCTGGCAATTTAAAAACAAATACACTGGGCAGCTAGTCAGAAAATCAGCAGGGAACACTTAAGTGTTACTGGATTTCTCACAAGAGTCATTAGTACATATAGGAAGTGATAATGTGATTATTAGCCATCATGACTAACCCACCAAATACAGTTTTAGTAAAAGCCTGGAAATTCTGATTTTTTTTTTAAATTTATTTATTAGATCTTATGAAGTCTTAGGACAGGACAATTAGAGCTTGTTACAGTAATGGAACTCTCCGAACTCTGCCTGCTAGTTAATAGCCAGCTTAAGGAAATGGGTTTATTTATTTGTGGATTCTTTCCAGCTGGAACAGTTTGAGAGCACTATTGGATTCAAACTGCCAAACCATCGGTCTGCTAAAAGGTTATGGAAGGTCTGTGTGGAGCACCATACTTTTTTCAGGTAAATGGTAATTCTCTGCGTCCCCCACTTTGCCAGGTATGCTCATATCTTTCTCTTACAGCCTACAAGGAAAATAGAGAACGTCTGTCTGTCCCCCCCTTTGCCCCTGATTTCTTGGTCAAGTAATGTGTCCTAGGCAGAAGACGCCCTAACAATCATTGACCCCAAATTACCAATTCTGGAAGTCTTAAGTATAATTAGCAGCTTCATTTGAACTTTCAGAGTGCTAACAGGATGATGCAAACTCGTGATGGCACATAACTTTTCCTCAGCGACTGACTCTTCAGAGTGGCTGTGTAAGAAAGCCACAATACTCCTTCACAAGAAGCTCTCAGGGCTTGACAGTAACCTTGGTTCACCTCACTTTTTCAGAATGTTCTGCTGAGTGTAAATGTTGACAGCTGAATTTTTCCTAATTTATAAACTGGGCTGAGGTCACAGTCATTCTTAAAGAACAGAGAATGACTCTTAAAACCAGACTACTGTTCTTTATATCCATAACTTTCTCTGCATTTTTTTCTCCAGCAACTGATAAACATAAAATTCTGAATTGGTCATTGAAGCTATAGTCCGTTTGTAAATGAGCACTTTAACAATAGGCCAGAATTGTCTCTCTTTCCACTTCCTCTGTTGAAAAAGGATTTGAAACCTCTCCATTTGGTGTTTAGAATAGTGCGTGTGCCCCATGCAGCCTAGGAGTCACAGATTGAGGTTGAATCTCTTACGCACTGAGTAGGTGTTGCATCCAAGTTTCTTGCTTCAAATGAGCATGGTAACTAGGGCTTGTGAAAGGTAAGCTTTCTCCTTCAGTATCCTGTGTTTTATTTCAAAAAAGCAATTGTGTTTTAAGGTAGATGCAGTCCTGTTGCTGAATACTAGTCTAAACTGAATATACTTTCTAGACTGAGACCTTCAGAGCACTTGTGGGCCATGAGTTAATTACTGGAACTGTCTCATTGGATGGGTTTCACTATTCAGATTTTCATTGAATGTAGAATATTCTTGAATGCAATGTTAGAATTTGTGCCGAGATTGGCAATCAGTCTCTAAATGCTTGGAATTTAGAAGCACTTCTTTCTCAAATCTTGATGACCTCCCCCCCCCCATTTGATAGAATTCCTTAGTTTAAGATACATAGTCCACCGTTGTAGTCTTTAAGATTTGAAGTCTGCTTTGGCTGGTGCTGTTTGTTACCACAAATAGCTTGCAGTTCTGCCTGCAATGAAAAGTTTATCAACACTCATCAAATAACTTATGCAGAGATTTGCTTTGCTGGAAAACTGTATTTCCTAATTTTATAGTAACAAAATGGACCTGAATAGGGGAAAAAACCGAATCTTATAAAGACAAGATCCTAAACTGAGAACTACCATTTGCAAATACAAGTTTTCAGTAGTGTTGATACATAATAGATAATCTTAGTACAGAAATTCTGACATAATAAAAATAACTGGATTTTATTCCAATCAGAAGTGGCTTTTCCTAGCCAGGAATGGCACTATAATGAGAATTATATAACAAATACTTGAACCATTCTGTAAAATCCACATATACTCCACTGATGTCATCAGAAAATCCTCATCATCCAGAACCTCTCATCCTGATTTAAAAAACAGTAAAATAAATCCATCTCTTTTTCTCCAGTGATAAAAAGCAGAAAGCAATTGCTACAGTCCAAGAGACTGTAGCTCTTTCAGATTGTGTGTAAAGCTTGAATGTGGTACCACTCTAAATTTTATTCAATCTAGATGTACGTTTTTCACTTCCAAATCTCTTAGCATGCCCTATATAACATTATAAGATGCCTTGTGTTTTTTGCAGTGTTTCAGTTTTTCTGAAATAATTACATTAAGATACATCTTGTTATAATTCATGGAAATTCAGCCATTTATTTATAAATGTTTATAATGAACTGTTTTGAAAATGACAACCAAAAGGCATTGGATTCATTTCTATCAGTTCAGCCTTAGAGGATTCCAGTACCATTTTCAAAGCGTAACAATGTGTGATAAGAAATATAGTCAGACTATGTATCTACATTAACCTTTTAAGGTAAACTTGGTCTGCAACTTTGGATCTTAACCAGTGGCTGCAAAAACCTGCTTATAGTTGTGCTTTATGTCATCTTATTTGAAATTTTCGTGCTTGTTTCAGAGTCTCCGCAGACTGTCTTAAAATGGGAAGAGCATAGTCTCCAGTTATTTTATATAATTAAGCTTGTAATACAAAAAATCCATTCAAATGCCCTTAATCAGGAAGTAATTAGTTCTTTGGTTTTTTTTCCACATTAGAAGTTTATCTCAGCAGGGTGGAAGATAAAGATGGCAGTTAATGCTGCAGCCTTGCCAAGACTGGAAAATAAAGAACAGAAAGAACCTTGGAAAAACCCTCTTAGCCTTCTTCCTCTTAACGCATAATGCACTCTCTCTTGGAAATAATGTGGACAAATAAATTGTCACAAAGATTGCATGAGGCTGTTTTATGGAAGCAATGGAAGTGAAAATCCAGCTACTTGCAGTTTTATTACAAAAGTGTATTTAGTGCAGAAGGATTAGTCTGTCTTGAGTTCTGTTTTCTTTAGAAATGTGCTGGAACAGACTAGGATTCAGGTGCGTGTGTGTGCATCTTAGGCACGCAGGACCGGATCCTTCTGGCTACTGCCCTGAGAAAGCCGTAAACACTGTCTCAGCCTACTGAGCTCACTGTTTGTTTTGCCAGATACCTGAAAATCCTGCAATTTTGCTGGAATATCTTTAGAATGACTGTCAGTTTTCAGAATCCTCCCGCTGGATACCCTCTTAACATATGTTGGGTTGGATTCCACTGACACAGGTATTCCCCGTGCAAATGCTGCAGAAAGGTAGCACAAAGTCAGCACACTCTTAAGTCTCGCTGGCCCCTCTGTGCCATCCGAAGTACAAAGAGCACAGTAGTTGCTGGTTTGGCTTGAAAGAAGCCAGTGTTCAGCGAGCTTCTCATTCTTCGCAGATCCTCAAGTCAGAAAGCTCCTTCTGGAATAGTCGTCTGGTTTTATGCAGAGGGAGTGTAGGCCATGGAGACTGCCGTGCTGGGTGAGCATGTATTTGCACCACTGTGCTGATCCAGGGAGCAGGATCAAAGACCTTTTTAGAGAAGCTGAAACTGGGAAGAGTTCCTGCAATGATGATGCTATCCTGTCAGCAAGGATGGCGCTGGAACAAACAAAACCCTCAGTGCTGAAGCTGACAGCTTAGATTTCAAAACAAAGTACAAGTAATGAGGGCTTGATGGAAAAGAGCCTGAAGTCCTAATACTAAAGGACATCAGGGAGGTATGGAGGACCTGCCTCTTCACACTCACGTGGTGCCAAAAACTGGTGGAACGAAGCAGGATCCCTCATAGCACATTCTGCCACTTTTGTTACTTAGACCTTTGGACATTAACACTTAGGTACAAACATGCATACCCCACAGTAATAACGCTCATAACTGAATCTCCTTGTATCCAGGAAGCATCCACTTACACAAATCTATGAATGCCACTGTAAAGAAACTGGAGTATCAATCTAGCTTGTTAAACTTCTTACTGTTGGGTCAGAAATCTCCAGCCATCTCCATCTTTTTGCACGTGGTACAGCTTCCTATGCAGGTTTGAGATGCTATTTCCTAACTTGAAACAAGAGCTGCTGCTGTATTGGCACCTTGGAATATAGGAAAGACAGTGGGAGTGGGATGCATAGTTTCTACTATAAGTAACATTCTCAGGAGAGAGATCTGAGAGGTATTCTACTTGAACCTATATTGCCCACAGCTTTCTAGGAAAAATCCCATTTAACCAAGATGGCACCAAAATATAAGCATCCCAGATGTTCAGACACACTGTGGAAAATGTGATGTTTTAGAAGTCCTGGAGCTTATGGCAGAATCCTTTCTTGGAGTGTGCAAAACATGCTTGGTGAACTGAAGCTGAAATACAATAGCTTTAAAGTACCTAATTAAATGCGTAAAATAAAGGCTTTTTAACTGACTTTCCTCCTATTTACTTTTCAGACTCGTATCGCCAGAACAGCCTGCAAAAGCGAGGTTTCTGACTCTGGGTTCCAAGTTCCGCTACAGTGGACGTACGCAAGCACAGACACGACAGGCCAGCAACCTCATAGACAGGCCAGCTCCATACTTCGAACGCACTTCGAGCAAACGTGTTTCCAGAAGCCTTGATGGAGGTATGAAGTCGGACTTATTTCTTTGGTGTTTTGATGGCATTGTGTGTTGTCACTCTGATCTCACCAGCATTCAAAAATGTTGACGTTGCGGATGGCCATAATGTCAACTGCCAAACCGATGCATTTCGGTTTCTCCTGGGTGAGGGCTAGCTGCTTCGGTTACCTACCAGTTTTAGGTCACCTAAACAGTAAGTTAAGTCACTGCCCCAGTTGTATGGGACTGCTGTGAATATATGGAGGGTTCTGTATTGGACGTAGAGCATCTGTGTTCACTACTCATACCTGTTTTACGGGATGGGTATGCAGCGTGTGCTGTTGGTTAGAATTGTTTGGTCAGTGGCACCTTTTGAGCTCTGGGTTGGCCTGTCTCTTTCTATACCAAACAGCAAAGGCAGAACAAGTTGTTTCTCCTAGTTTTGCATCCTTTTGTCCAGTATATTGCTATCCTAGTATATTTGTTAGATACTTCTGTGTTTATCTAACACTTTTATGTGGGGTTGTTTGAATAGCTAAAACTTCTGTGTCGTTACTGGTGTTTGGTCTCTTTGAGCAGAAGTACCTCCTGGTTTCCTTTATTGGAAATGGGCATGCTTTCCAAAGGCTGGTATAGCAGCAGTGTTGAGACATGTAGAAGCACATGCTTTACTCTAAATCGCTCCCAAAATAATACGTAGACAAATTCTTCAGAAAAATGGCTTGAAGCTTGACTTGGATTCAGGAATACACAACCAGCATAGAAGTGACAATGATGTGAGTTTAGATACAATTCAGCTGTTAAATTTACCTTATTTTCTCCAAGAATCTTGTATTTAATAGACTTTTACTTCTGCGAATGTTCATTTTTCTAAACTGGGACAAATAAGCAGACTTTGACACTTGCTTGGGAAGCCTACAAAGTCTCACCTTCTGAGAACTGAAGCAAAAACAAGAGACAAAAGTGCTTGTGCTGGTAGTGTGTGCTGAGTCCTTGTGGCAAACCAAAGACTCATCGCATCATCAGTGTTATGGTTTGAGCCTGGTTTAGCCCCTGCACTTTCTTTGGTTAGAAACAAGTTACACTCTGACAGCTGGGAAGAGTTCATCATCAAGCCTTTCTGGGATCCCCTGTGCATCATCTGCAGAATACAGATGTGTGTGCATCTGTGTTCAGGCCCAAACTTTCACTCTTGCAATACCATCACAGTTAAAATTTTGAACATGATGAAACATTGCTCTTGGTTTTCCTCCTCCACTCCCCCAATCATCTTTGGTTTCATCTTGCATGAAACTGGCTATTCCTGGCAGCATTTAAGGCATCTTGCTGGTGTTGCCATCTGCACACTGTAATAGCCGCAAACTGTGTTCATGCAAAGTCAAACCTGAGTATTGATCTTTCTTCAGGCAGTAGTCCAGGTGTAGGTTCATACTGTGAGTGTACAGCTGAGATGAAAAATTCTGTAGGGGCTGGGCTTGCACCCTGCCTTTCCCTTGTGAGCAGCATGACCAGTGCCGTGGTTCATCCCAAATACCTAGGGCTGTGTACCCATCCTTGTATGGGTTACTCCTGCTACACTCCCACGTCCCCCTCGCTGGAGGGACTGCAGCATGCTGGAGGAATTGACAGAAAGGAACCTTATGAAATTCAACAGAAATAAAGGCCAAGTCCTGCACTGGATGAGGAGTAACACCATACACCAAAACATCCCGAGGGACCAACTGCACTGAAAGAGGCTTTGCAGAAAAGGATCTGGGGACTCCAGCTGGACAAGCTGAACATGAGTCAACAGTGTGCCCCTACAGCAAAGGCCAGCTGTATCCTGGGCTGTATTAGCAAGAGCATAGCCAGCACATTAAAGGAAGTTGTTATTCCTCTGTTCAGTACTTTGTGAAGGCCCTATCTGGAGCGCTGCATCCACCTTTGGCCTCTCCAGTACTAGATGGGCATTGGCATATTGCATCTTTGGGCCCCCCAGTAGGAGCCGCCAAGCTGGCCAGAGGGCTGGGTGCCCATGGTATGCCAGGAGAGGCTGAGGGAGCTGTGGTCCTTCAGCTCTAAGAAGAGAAGGCTGTAGTGAGATACTGCTGTCTTACAGCTACCTGCAGGGAAGGTGTAGAAAAGATGGAGCCACGCTTCCCTTAAAGGTGCCCAGTGATAAGGCAGTGGGGAGTGTCTGCAAGCTGAGACACAGCAAATCTCAGTTAGGAATAAGAAATTTTTTTTTCTTTTGTTTACAAAGACTTGGATATGCTTGAAACTCAACTGGGCAAGTCCCTGAACAACCTGGTCTAATCGGACCTTCTCTGAGCAGGGGGTTGGACTAGCGGACCTCCAGACATTCCTTCCAACCTAAATTATTCTGTGATTTGTCAAAAGTTACTTGTGAAACGTGAGGGACGTATACACAAAAATTGCTGTGTTTGCCACCCAAGAAGGGATCAGAAGCTTAGATCGCAGAATTTACTATTTAGAGACGCCGAAAGCCTAGCATCCCAAATCCCACGTTTGCTGTTAGCTGGCCTGGGCTTCTCAGCAGCCTGAGACTCTGATGTAGAGCTGAGACTATCTTTTTTTTTAAAAGAGGATATCCCTCAAACTTACTCCAAGAAACGCCTCTTCCTCTCAACTTTCTGTATGTTGGCTTTCTAAAGTCAAGGTTGTCACAGAAGATTGCTAAATGAATTGAGTTTGTATCAAAGTTGTGTTTATTAGAGCTGCTTAATGTAATTAATTCTGTATTTCATTACTACTGTTTTGACTGAGCCGCTCATCCTGATCTCAAAAAAAAGTTGTTCTGCTTCTTAACCCTATTATGCTGAATCAAATGAGAGGAAAAAAAGTAATTTAAGGCCTTTCACTCCCTGGTGCTTTGACTATATGCCAGTATACATATTCAGTATTTCCCCCTTCTATTTTTTGCAAGCAGATAGGGAGGAAAAGTCTTACTTTCACTTTTGTTAAGGTTCCAGAATAAAAATACTGTGACAGGTATAGGCATAACTATTTCTATATTGCATATAAACAGTCCTCTGAAAATAGCGGATTTACACAAATCACTGTTGCCCATCTCTCTCTTGGGACTGTGTAAATCACTGTAACAAGAACAGTTCCTTCAGTTTGTCTTCCCGGACTAATCAGAAAGTTGATAATTAAATGCCTACCTGTTGTTACGAGGTTTTTTCCTTTGCATGTAAGTGCCTATTAGATGACAAGGGTACATTGCTGCCCATATCAGTGTAATGAGAACCACAGAATTTTGGCAAAGCTGAGAAGCTGAAAAATACTGCATTACTCAGTAAGCTGCCTGTCTTGCTGACATCACCATAAAATCATTTCATGAAAAAAGTCTTAAAACCAAACTGTTCCAAGTCACCCCAATTAACCAAAATTTTGTTCTCCATTAGCTCCCATGGGCATCTCAGACCAAAGTCTGCTAAGAGACTTCCCTGCTGCTGGACATAAAACCATTGACATTGAAGCTGCTGGTCAGGCCAAGTTAAAAGAAGGTGGAAGAGAAGAAGATGGAAGCCCGGTCAAAACTCCACAATTAGAATTGGCTCAGGATGGAAAGGTATGGCTGACTTTCACCCCACAATTATTTGTTTATGTGGTACGTACGTGTCCATGTGTGGTTATTTAGTGCCCATCACTTCTGAGCATCATACAGAGCACCATATTAAGTTGTTAAAGGAAAATTGTCAAGGGTTTTCTGTAGGTTTAATGTAAGTGTATGTAAGCAAAAGAGAATGCAGACTTCTGAATGGCATTAACCTAGGGTTTCTTTTATTGCTATAAATCTAATTTGAATTCTCAGTAAGCTTGCACGAGTTCTTGAAAAAATATTTCAAAGGATAAATAATGTTTTATTTGTTTCCTTGGTTGTTTAGACTTAAAATTGTTAGTATATCCACAGTTCTGTACAAAGCTGGGTACATTATGACTGTGTTTACTATAGGTAACAGTATTGTGTTAGTAATTGTTGAAGAATCATTACATCCTTTACGCCTCAGACAACACACGAGTTTTTAGATTTCTGTTGAAAGTTGAGTACTTTGGTCTGTTCCTGTTGCCAACAACCATTTACTTGTCCTGTTTGTTTGACCTACTGGGGAAACAGTTCACAAAATTAAATTGAGATCCTGTATGATTTGATGTAAAAATTTCCTTCCAAAGCGTCAGCTAATATCTGCTGCTCTTCTCTCCTGGAGATCACTTCTTTTTCTGGCAGTTCTCCAGAACTTTCTTTCATATTTAGAAAGTAATTTCGTGTTCACATATTTTTGCAAGTTAGCTACCCATTTGATTCCAACAGGGACTGCTGAGTTTCTCTGTGTGGTTCACATTCCCACTGCATTCACGTGTGGGAAGGGAGCAAATACCAACAGTTGTCTTTTTTTTTTTTTGTTTGTTTGTTTGCTGGCAAGTTGAAATGAATTCGCCTAGGGAAAAAGGCACACAGAGTTTCTTTATGGGAGAAAAATGGTAAAATAAATTCTGGCATTTTGACTTTGAGCTTGGTAAAAATGGTGATTCTCCCTTGTTTTCAAAGTGGCAGTATCTTTCAATATTTTAACCAAAGAAGAAAGAAAAAGCAGTATTCTGGGGAGTTGTTCCAGGAAGCTGTTCACTAAGGTTTTGTTACACATGCCAATTCCATGAACAACTTGCTTTCCCCCCTAGCACAGATACTTCTTTTCCTTTCTGGCTCTCTTTAAGTCTTAGAGGAAATGGTTATAAACCCAAGAATCAAAGTGCCAGCTTGTCTTTCGTGTACTGCACTGTCCCCTGACCTTTCTGCCAAAGCTTAAGGTCTGTCCCTTTCATCTGTTTTAAGTGACCATTAACGATTCAAAAGTGCACAGTTCTCTGCAGCCTGAGAACAAAACATTCATAATGGGTTCCATTTCATAATCCACAAAAGCAAACAAGTTGGCTGCTTGTAAAATACAAGGGGTTTTCTATTTTTATTTGGCATTTCTATTGTGTCAGTAGTTATCCCTTCTTCTAAGTAAAAATATTCACTAACTAATAATTTCTTTTTTTCTCCCTTCTTCTTGTGCCTTCAAACTTGCATTTTGTTGTACTTTCATTTTCCACTGTGCACAGAATTTTTTTCCTCGGCTCACTCGTGTACACCCGTCACCCATCCATTCCATGTCATCCCATCTCACAAACCTGCCACCTGTCCCAGAGATGGACATGCTTTCAGATATTTCAGAGGAAGATCCCTTCGGGGAGCCCCTCCTTACCATCCCAGACACTTCAGAGTGCAGTTCCATGAAAGGAACACCAGATCATAACAAAAATGAAATAGCTTCACTGATTAATACCTTTGAATCTATGATACCCCTAGCTAGTAGAGGCTCCCCAACTGTGGAGGGAAAAATCCAGACAAATGACTACAAAAGCACAGAGTTCTGTGTCTCTTTCAGCTTTTTCAGATGCTTTTCTTTTAGTTACCGTTCGCTGCTTGATGAGGATGGTTATATCACTTTTCCTAGCCTTCCTGATGTTTGCATCTCTTTCCTCCCACCTGGCCTTCAGCACTATATCCCTATTACCTCTCCTTCCTTCATCCCCTCTTTCTTCCTTATCTTCGTGCTGCTTCTGTCTGCTTTCCAGTCTATTCCTTTTTCGCTCACATTTTCCCTTCCTCTTGCTCTGTCCCTCTGCTACCTGGAGACTAAGGTGACTTCCTTTAGTGCCTCTAGTGACAATGACCTGAATGACAAAGCAGAGGAAGAGGAGGTGTGTAATTTTGCTGCTTAAATGTTGACACTTGCACACAGCTCTTATGCTTGTTCTCCCAGAGGCTTGCTCAGTTTTGCACACTTCCTAGTGTAGGGATACGTCCACGTATGTGCCTGTATATATACAGACATACACCTCTGTGTGTGTGTGTATTTACATCTTTCAAACTTTTCTCATTTGTGAAAAATGGCCGTTGTGAGATTTTTAGTCAATAGATAGCTGGCAGGTCTTCTGTCTCAATTCCTACAGCATGCTTAATTTCATCAGATTCCACAGATACTGACCTGCAGGTACAGCTGCTTTGTAGTTCGAAATGTTTATGACCACATAAATCAGAATACAAAGTGCTGTGCAGTAATAAATATATTATTACTTGATACCATTTGCAAGTTGTGCCGTGTGAACTGTGAGTTTGTGGTAAAATGCATGTCTCCTGCGTGCATTGACTGGAATGCACCTCTCCAAAGTTCTGTTCAGATCTGAAAAGTGCAGTTCCTAAAAGCTGAACTCATAAACCTGTGGTTACTTTAAAATCAGCTTTTTTGTTCTTCCAGGTTTCAGATGTTTCTGCCCTGCAAGGGTGTGTGCAAAGTTGAGTCTCTCCAACGCACTTTTACTTTAAGCGCTCTGATTCATCTCTAGCAGCAGTTGTGGTGGAGCGTGGTTTTGTTCATTAGCTGGGATTGCAGGCTGTGTCAGACTTCAATCACTGGAGTCTGAATGTTCTTTGAAATACACTTAAAATTGCTGTGCAGAAGCCTCAGCCCCGCTAATATGTTTCTCTGATCACCTGGAATGGCTGACAAAATGCCTCCTTTCCATACGCCTGCTGTGCATGTTACAGCAATACCACTAGAAAGAAGTGGTTTAGTTTGAACTTCAAAAGAAATATGCAATCAAATATTACAGAATCAGAAAGGGTGAGGGCCTGTCCAATGTTACATTTAACAAAGTTTGTTAAAGTGATTAAATCAATACAATGTACATATTAAAAACATGCTAAATAGGAAATGACACCATTAAAAACACCAATCGAAGTTTAAAATAATGAAAAGCATGACTTTAAAGACTTTCTCAATTCTTGTGTAACCTAATTCAATCCATTTGTTACATGAAGTTGCATAAAACAGAGCCCCAGATAAGCGAGAAAGGAATAAAAATGATGTGTACCACATTGTGTGCACTCACAGGGAATCCAGAACGCAACAGCATGCGCAGTAAATAAACCCCTCTACAAATTTATGTGCTTGAACAGCGTTGACTTTGAAATGCATCTTTTACTAAGATTAGCAGTTGGCATTGGTACCTGGGGAGAGGCTGGGAAGTGGTTTCCTTCTTAAAGCATGCTGTTCCTTTAGGCACTGAGGATACTTGTGGGTGAGAAACGAAGGCTCGCCATCACTTCCAACAGACTGTGGTGCAGTTTGAGGGAGAATGAATTCACCTACACAGGGGGGTGGGGTGCAAGTAACTCATCCCAAGAGGGCAGCGTTCTTAAAATCATTAAAGCCGGTTTGTAAATACAGTATTTAGGTGTTTGACTTGAGTCCTAGGCTCCCTTACTGAAAGAACTCATGAATTAGCTTTTATTTTCACACCAACCTGTTGCAGAGTTTAAGGCACTTTCCACAGAAATTACGCATATCATTTTTTTTTTCTTTACTCATTCTTAAACTTCCATCTGGGAAAACACGGAAAACTACAGCAAGAAAGGGACATAGTGCGAAACTTCCATTTTTCGTGCCACTTATGCCAAATATTACTTCAGCCACTCTCCGACAATGTAGGTGAAGGAAGACCAAAGTCGCTTAATAATTTCAACAACGTCTGGGGCCGAAACAGTAAAGGTCTGTAAATACAGCACGCTTTGCAGCATTTCCAAAGGGCTGAAGCCTCTGTGTTGTTCTGCGTGGGAATGGTTTCCTTTCTTGGTAGTGTACCGTCTGCTCGCACAGGTGGAATCTGAGGAGGAGGAAGCACAGCAGGAGGTGCATGGTTGTGTTTTTGCAATTAAAGCTGGCTGTAGCTTGTCAGCACCCTGAACTTTCTGTGGATTTGGTCTGAACAGTGCTTTTTCATCTTACCATTTTATTTCCTTCATTTAACTGTCCAATTCTAAGGCTCTTTTTTATTTACTTGCTGGTACATTTTATGTTCTTTTTTTTTCCCTTTTTTTTTTTTTTTTGTATGGCTTAATTTCACAGAGCAATTCCTTGAGAGTAGACGGGGAAAATATTTATGTCAGACATAGCAATTTAATGTTGGAGGTTTGTATATAACATAAGAAAGACTTTCCCTTCTCACGGGCTGCCAGGCTGCATGGAATGGGAGGTCACTTGCAGGCTGTTATGGACACGGTGCATGAAGTGCATGGGGGAAAACCAGCTTGGAACTGTTGCATGTTATCAGTTTGGTTTCTGACTATAAATGGAAAAAATCTTTAAAAAATCCAAAGAAACCAAAAAATACCTCAGCTTGAATGTATATTGTTTTGTATATTTTTGCTGGATGTTTTCAAGGTGGCAACTGGGAATAAAAGCCCTGTTTTGATAAAGCAAACACATGGGTCCAATTCATAATCCTAAACGGGATTTTTATACATTGCTCCCTGACGTGCTCATCCTGCCTTGAGTAGGGTTTCTAGTGTTCACCGGTTTAATCAACCTTTAGCAAATAGATTATCACAATAAATGGAGTTAGGAGGGCAGAAGCAGTGCTGGAAGTATGGAAAAACTAAATCTGCTTCTGATGCTCATAGATTTTTAGGAGCTTGGAGAAATGTATGTGAGGATCAGATTTTTCAATGGAATGTTTAAATACCTTCTGCAATCTTTGCCGTATTTTTTCACTTTTCAAATTGAAGTAATTCTTGTTTCCTAAAAGTTGGTTTTCATGGAACATGAGCAGAAGAGAGCTTTGAACAGTATGTTAGTGTAGTGCTTTGTCACTGAAGTAGAGATTTCTTTTTTTATTATAAGAATTTCCATATAGTCTGTTAATCTGGATTATTTTCTCAAAGACTGTCTGTAGTTATAATCAGTGTCAATTAACCTGCAGCTAATAACATCAACTAGTAACTGAAGAAATTTTAGAAAATCCTATTGCTGTCTTCAATGTATTTTATTCATCCAGATGGGGCTATAAATAATTCCCTGTGTCACAAAAACTGTCTTTTTAAAAATCATTGGGTTTGTTCAGCGATAAGGAGATGTATGGACCGCAGTAACCCAACTAATATGTTTTTTGGCTTTTTGCAGCTTTTGATCACTATTGAAACTTTGCTTGTGTATAACTTACTAAAGCACTGAAAGTGTACATTGCGTAACTGCTTTGATCAAGACCAAGAAACGTGCCTTGTGTCAAGCCAAGACAGGGTTTAAGATTATGACGTGATTGTTACGAGCTTCAGTGAGGTAACAGAACACCTTTGGCCTAAGGTTTTACTTCACTCTGAAATGCATACTCTAGGGCGACATATTTGATGTCTCGTTTGTTAGTGCTAGATTAGAAGTGAAGTATCAGTCCTGTGACAATATGAACCTACCAAGTTGCCAGAAGGGGAGAGGTTCTGAGTGTTCTAGGTCCTTGTGTGAATATTGACAGAATTAGGAAACAGATGTGCAGCACCAAACTGTTAACTGGTGCTGAACGTGCCAGTGAAAAGAAATTAGAAACTCAGGAGTTCGTATTGGGTTTGGATTTTTCCTGAGCACTGACCGTAAGAATCCAGTCCAAAATGTTAAATTTCAAAACCTTCTGTTACAAAGTATATACAATCTTTGTACAAAAACCAGAAGCCTTACCTAAATTATTGATTTTGATTACATTCTTTTGTTACAACTTCATTAATAATTATGTCTGCATTGATGATATTCCATGTTCAAGTTCAGTCATTTAATTTTGTACTAAAAATGTTTCTGAGGCTTAAACTTGAATTTCACCACTGAATACTGAGAAAATATCTTAACTCTCAGTTAACAGTGTGCCTAACCATCATAGGCTTTTCTGAAGACCTGGCATGCTGGAAGGAGGGCACATTACAAAAGCAGGGTGAAATCTGCTCTTCCCACCAAAGCCCAGCATTGTATTTAAAAGATGCTGGATTTCTAAGAGAGCTAAGCAGATAGATTTTTTTTTTTTTTTTTGCGCCTGCTTGCCAGAACAGTTAGGTTTCTGCATAGCTCCTGATCTTTGCCTGCTCCCCTGTCTGGTGTGAAGTGAAAGACTAGCTTGTAGTTAGTTACTTGGTCCAAGGTGTGGCAGTTTAGCCTCAATGGCCCATCATAAAATCTAATTTGATGCTTGCCCTGTGGTGTCCCCTTTGGCACTTGCCTACGTGCATGCAATTCAGAGAACATCTCTTTGGTATTGGTGTGCCCCAAAACCGTCCCTAATGGGTGCTGTTTGCTGCTGGATTCTTAAATGCGGACTGGCAGGTACCGGGCTTTCAGTCTCTATCTTCCCGTGAGCTTAAGCCCACGTGACAGGCAGAAGGAGTAGTCCCCTTGAAGTTAAGCGGGTGTTAGTTGCTTGCCTATTTGGCCCTGTAGCATTGTCTTCACAGCAGTATTTTTCACAGAGCTTGTAGTATCAAGGAAGATGCATTCTGGTAATGCTTCTTGGGTTAGACGATTCTTTCTTAGACATGCCTTCAGCAGTGCTAAAGGAAAACAAAATCTCAGTTCCCTTATAGCCTTAAACTTCTTTAATGTTAAGGCACTCCAAAGACAACTATCTCTTCAGACACAAGGCACTTTCCTTGGTTTGGTTTTTTTTCTTTTTTTCCAGTTAAGTTGGCTTTTGTTGTCGTGTTTTGTCCTACTTTGTTTTATGTTGCGGGTTGCTAGGACCTGGATAAGACCCAGGACGACTTACTGAAACACCAGGCTAGCATTAGTGAGCTCAAGCGCAATTTCATGGAATCCACGCCTGAACCACGCCCAAATGAGTGGGAAAAGCGGCATATCACACCTCTGTCCCTACAGACACAAGGGGTATGTCACTGCAGACCTTCGTCTGCATGCGTTTCCATACCACCCTCTATGTACCGTAGTGAATGCAGTTTGTCCATTAGATAGCACTTTCTTTGGCTAACGTAATGTTTGTTTATACTAAGTATACATTAACTTTCCACCACTTGCTGTTGGACCTGACTGTAAATAAGGTGTGGAGTTACATTCTTCTACAGGAACGACTGATCTGGCATCACTAGAAAACAGTGGAGGTACTGGCGGTGTTTTTCTGTGTGTTAAGGACATCTTTAAATCTCACTCTGACTTACACAGATTGATGGTGGCAACTTTTCAGCGAGCCACCTGATTCTTCCCTCCTTCTCCCTCTCTTTAACCCTTTGTAGACAGCTTTGCATAAACACACACAGCCTGTGAGTTGTTTCAGAAGGACCTTAATTTACAGTGTTGACTTCTTCAGGATGTAACTAATGTAGTTGTTAATGTTTACTTGCCCTAATCTCCAGAAGTCTGTAAAATCAGTTTTCCTACTATTTTGTTCTATACCTCCTTCCTGACTCAACCTTAAAACAGCAGTTTGGAAAATGACTTTTTACAAACACCATCCTGAAGGTTTGTGGCAAGAAAACTCGCTGAATGTATTTATCTTGCTCTTCTGAAACTTTCAGTTTTATAAGGAGTTATTAGCTGCCTCTTTCATAGAGAAGAGGAGGCAGTCAGTCTTTGAAAGCAATCAATTTATCTTGTTACCCTTTTCTTCCGCTGTTATTCTTACCCTTCCCTCCTAAATGTATTGTTGTCTGACCCTATTAAATTCTTAAGTATTATCTTCAGTCTCCAGGGAGGTGAACTTTCACTTAAGCTTGCTTGATGCTACCAAATGAATTCTGTTAATAAGACATTATTTCAGTAAGGTACTTAAGTGATCTGCACTGTATGTGTACACAGACAATACAGTCACTGTATGGATCACTTCCTTAATGACTGTTTTGTTAATTTATGGTTACTGCCAAGAAATTCTTCCTCATATTTCTGAGTAGTGCCTGACTGTTTCCGTGCATAGGTACGAATGCTGCTCAAATTGTCAAATGTTCATGACATATTGGCTCCTTTAATAGCCATAAGTACATTTTTTCATTAAAATAGACATCTATGTAAAAGTGTAACTTAATTTTCGTTCTGTGGCTGCGTGTATTTTCTGTGCTTATTTCTTTGTATTGAAGTTGAGGCACCTCCAAGTTATTTTATGGGGTTTTTTTTTCCTCATTTAGTATGTTCTGTCACTTTCAGATGGTTTGGTTTGATGTTTATGTATAGTGTATGTCTGTCTCATTGCTTGTTGATTCACACTGGTTTTGTAAAATGAAAACCAAATAGAAAAAAGGAGACCACATTTTCCAAGTGAAAACGCTGCCTGGGAAGGAGAAGCAGTGGACTGCAATGCCATGGATTCCTGGAGCAAAACCAGAGGAAACCGATAAGGTGGCTGCCCTGAAACGTACTGCCTTTTGCTGTATCTGCTGTGGGCTGTCTTGGGCACTTCTTTCTTTTCCTTTTTTTTTTTTTCCCTGATGGAGATAACTTTTTTTAAAGCCAGTGCTGAAAGGAAAAGGTTGAGTTGTAAACCAGGATCCGTGTATGTATATATACACATGCATGAACGCCAGCAACACTCTGCTTAAACACCAAACTAGCTGGGGGGTTCTGAATGGCTGCTGTTTTAAAAGAGAACCGGGAAGTTACTGTGTGTTGCGTCACTAGGATGACAGCAAAACCTGTATTTCCCTTTTGTGTGGAAATAATTGTCTGCAGTTATTTGGCACTTCACACAAGAACTTTTGCTTTACGTGTTCACTGTAAGCGTTACTCAAACCCAAATGTTTCAAAGGCAGCCTGGTTCTGCGTACCTCCACGTTTCTGTAGCGCTGTTCAGCCAGGAAAAGAGGGAGGCTTTCTCCCCCATAAACTGGTTTAACATCTCTGCAGTGAAAAACACTATATAACCAGTAGGACTACTAGCAGTGTGATACTGCTGATAGGTGGCAATTGTGATGTTGCTTTTTTACATTACTTTTGAGCTTTGCTCTTCTCTACCACGTAGGAATTGGGACAAAAGTAGGTTATGTAAAGCTGTCAGTCCTATTTCAGTAACATATAGAAATATGAGGTTTGGGAAGCAGCTGATTTCCACCCTGAATTATTTGTTGATGAATGTAGAGGAGTTTCTGTTTGGGTGTTTTATTATCCCCTTCTTTATAAACTTGCTGGTATTAGGTGACTAATACAGTCCTTTTCCTGGACTGTATGTTTCTTTGCTTGTCTTTTAGGATAGTTGGACAACAGATGAGAATAAACTAGGGACACCACTGCTAATATTCTTTTTCTTCCTTTTGCTTCAGTGAAACTGCTTGCCAATAAGTAATTTTCAATGTACGAGAAACGTTATTTTGGGTACATCTTGTTAGTGCCATTATAATTCGGTATCACCGTACTCCCACAAAAGCACAGCATCTGTGACTTAATTATAACAGAAGTTGTGACAAATTGGTATGTATGTCACCAATAAATAGTTGAAATATTATGTTATGGATAACCACAACATTATTTTTTTAATCTATATCATGCCCACCCCACCTCTGGCCCTTGTAAACGGTACTTCATGTTAGTGTATGTGACTGTACCAGGGGGAGTTTGCCAGGAATGTAAACGTCTTTAGCTGATAGCTTATTGTAACTACAGTAATTTAATGAAAAGTGCCAATTCTATCTCTACATTTAATCGCTTCAGTAAATCCCCCCTCAGGGAGGGAACAGGAATTACATTGTCAAATAAATTGTGTGATTGGGGTTTTCCTTTTAAAATATGAGACGACTTAAAAATCGGAAGGTGGTAAAATACAAAAAAAGATGGGTGGTATGTGCTGGTATTTAATTATATATGTATGTGGGGAGGGAGAGGAGAGATGACCACAGTCTGACCACGTACCACACGATTTATTTTCCACCTCCACCTTTTTCTTTTTTTACTGCTTTGAGTGGTTAGGAAACACGTGGCACCAGAGTACAGTAGGAGTATCATGAACATTTTTGCCTTTTGATGTAATCTATTAATAGACGAACACTTATTGGGTGTGGTAAACTAGGGAGGGGAGGGAGAGGAGAGATGACCACAGTCTGACCACGTACCACACGATTTATTTTCCACCTCCACCTTTTTCTTTTTTTACTGCTTTGAGTGGTTAGGAAACACGTGGCACCAGAGTACAGTAGGAGTATCATGAACATTTTTGCCTTTTGATGTAATCTATTAATAGACGAACACTTATTGGGTGTGGTAAACTAGGGAAGGGAAATGGATATTGAATGCTGCACGAGGGCAAACTTAGTAACTTGCATTCATGTTACATTTCCTTAGCCAACTGTGAAATAAACTGTAAATTTTATTGTAGGGAA